GCTTTGGAGGAGACTTCTTCCCCGGCAGCATCACCTCCGACGGCTCCGCTCCCATCACCCCCCATCATCACAGAATCATATATCGTCGGCCGCTCTTCACCCGGGGGGAGGGGAACTCTCACGTCTGGTTGCAATGGGGGGAGGCCGTATGCCGAGGGGTCGAATTGATAAAGGGATACGTCGAAGTGCCTGGCGAGCCTCCGGTAAATCAAATGCTGGGTAAAAAACTCGCCCCCTGATAGTAGGCGTCGCCCCTATCTGTCAGCCAGTCAACCCCGGGGCCTTCTACCCAAGCATCCACCGAGGCTGCCACCACGGAGGCCACCCACTCCTTGTGGCCCTCGGTCCTCCAGCCCTCGGCGAGGAACTCAGCAACTGCCTCCCCTCGGGCCTTGGCCACAGCTCCCTCCTGGGCGGTTTTGGCCTCATCGGCAGCTTTCTTCGCCGCCTCGGCAGCAACCCTCTCGGCCTCAGCCTTGCCCTCGGCTATGCCGTCAGCCTTGGCCTTCTCCGCCGCCGCCTTCGCCTCCCGGAGGGCCTCCTCCAGCTGTGCAGCATGCTTCACCGCCTCGGAGTTCTTGCGGATCAGCCTCTCCATCTTCTTATCTTGGGCGGCCTCGTGAAGGCGCCTTTCCTCGCGCCTCCGGGCCTGTTCCCCGAGGGCTATGCAGGCCTGCAAACAATGATCAAAGGAGTTAGATTATTCCTCAGGAAAAAATAATACTAAACTGATAAAGAGAAGGAAAAAGGAAGCAGATACTTACAGTGAGAGAGGACCGGAGGATCCTGTTCTCGAGGGCATCATCGTCGTAGGTCTCGAAGACTTCCCTGTCCATCTTCGAGGTGATGCCCCGCAGGAAGGCCTTCGGCTCGGCAGTGCCGTGCATCAATGAAGCGCCGGGGGCAAAGGAGAGCTGACGGATCTCCCGGGGTAATTCCTCCGGGGATGGATTCACCAGAGCCTTCGGGTTGACCGAGGCCAGGGGCCCATCAGCGGCGGGCGTGTCATCAATAACTATGAGGGGGGCCACCCCCCCGACAGTGCCCCCGGTGGCTTTCTGCTTCTTGGTAGGGGGCTCCACCCCCTTATCGCTCCCCTTCTTCTTAACGGCCGCCTCGGCCTTCGACCTCCCGGTCCCCACAGCAGCATGGGCGTCCCCGGCAGAAGGCTCTATGACCTTAGGAAAAAGCGCGTCGACTGGCTTCTGGCCCGAGGGCCCCTTCTCCTTTGACTGGGTCTTGCCCTTCCTCTTTGCGAACAGGGCGTTGGCATTCATCCTGCTACCTGCAAAGAACGACAACAACAAGTTAAAAGGTTAGAACCGAGGGGTCAGAGACACGACAACAAACATGACAAAAAATCTCTAAGTACGAAAATGTAAAGCCCCCGACCACTACCTCCTGCTCCCACGAAGGCTTTATCGTAGAGGGGATACTTCTCATCGGTCTCCCCAATGAACCGATACCTCAGGAATCCGAGGGCATACAGGTCTTCCTCGAGGATGCACTCCTTGATGGTTATGTTCTTTTCCCGACCCTCGGGAATCTCGGCAATCTTCAGGCCATCCTTCTCGAGGGCGGCACTCTTGACCTTCACATGGCGCCGAAAGCGATTCCGCAACTCCCTCGGGAAGGGGCTGTCGGCCAGTCTGATGTAGCACCATCGCTCTCTCCACCCCTTGTTGGAAGAAGGGGCCTCGGTGAACAGTTTGAACTGGGCTATCTGCTGTAAGTTTGCATAGCCCTCGGCATTGGTATGGCCCCCCGGCATAGGTTGAAGCTTTGGAAGAATAACTCCAAGCTCGGTGTAACCCCCCGGAGTTTGCACAGGTTCACAAACCCAGCTATGTATGAGTGGCTGTTGGGGGTCAGTTGACAAGGAACCAGGTCAGTGTACCTCAGATACTCCCGGAGGAACGGATGGAGAGGGAACCGGAGGCCCATTGAAACCGAGAGCACGTGCACGGCTATACATCCCTCGGGAGGCCGGGACAACACGTCATCAGGACCTGGCTCGACTACTACGGCCGAGGGCCCTACGTGCAACTGGGTGATGTAGATGTCCGCCCTGTCAGCTTGGGACTTAATCTCCAGAGCGGCGGTGTCCAGGAAGGAGTAACCCTCCGGAAGATCAACTGACCCCCCTTGATCGACGGCCCTTACTTTCTTCTGGGGGCCAGCCTTCGTCTTTCTCCTCTTCTTCCCGGGGGCTACACTTAACGGCGTCGGGTCCAGCGGCCTCGAGCTACTTGCTTCCCCAGAACCCCGGGGGGGGGGGGGGGGGGGGGGGGAAGAACAGCGACAGTGACCTTCGCCCTCTCCTTTTCCTCCTCCTCTTCAGCAACTTGGACGGCGAGGGCTAACTCCTCATCTTCGGCAGTTCGCTCGAACTCCTCCGCCTCGACCTCGGCCACCAAATCCTTCTGCATCTCGGTGGCGAGAGCTGCATCACCACCCGAGGGCTGGCTGCTACTGGACTCCGCATCGGAGATACCTTCGTCTTCCATCGAGGGCGTCCTCGAGATGTCCTGGGAATCGCTCTCGTACGACATTTTTTATCATGAATGTGCCTAAGATTTCGAGGGCTTTCTACAGGATTCTAATCCTAATCTAAGGCCAGGGGGCGGAACTTACAAAAAGTGTTGAGGGGAAAGCGGGACACTGACGTTGAAAGGAGTTGACCGAAGGCTTGAGTTTCTCTCTCTAGAATTTTTTGCAGAGCTTCGCTAGAGGTGTTGGATGCGTAAAGGAGGAATGGCCCTGGCTTGGGGTATTTATAGGCGCTGGAATCCGGGCTTGGGCCCGGAAACCGGGCCTCCGAATGAACGCCATCATTACACACCGCGTCTTCGCCCAACCAGTGATGCCGCCCACGGACAGCCAGCCATCACACGCCACGTGTACCCCCCCCAACGGCTATAAACCTGACGTTACATATTCCAACGGCTATATTTCCAACGGCTATATTCTGGAAGCCCCCGGGTTTTCTACTTCACTCCACTTCATCAAGGAGAGCCTCCAGGTACGCTTACCCAGAAGCTCCCCCGGGTTGTGCCCCACACAGCACATAGCAGATGCCTTCGGGATCACTCCTTCAGAAACCCAAGGCTTCATATCAGGGCACCCCTCGGGGATTCCCCTCAGCATTGCAAAACCGGGTAGCCCCCGGGGAGTTGCCTCATTGACGGATAACCCAAGGCACATAGGTAATGGGAGCCCTCGGGTATCTTCATCACCAACTAATCAACAAACAGTGGACCCCCCGGTAACAACTCCACTGCTGCCCTCATCCGGAAGGCCCTCGATCCCCGGATTGAGGGGCTCCCCTTCGGCGCCCCCAGGACATCAACAGCAAGCCTTCGGCTAATCAACACATGAGCCCTCAGAAAAGGAAGAGCCTTCGGCATTACCGTTGTTCTCCATTTTTGACCAAGGTTTCACACTTTCGATCCATCATTGGGGGAATTCGGTGCACTCTTTTTCCCTCATTAGGATTTTTTCCCACAGGGTTTTTTCTAATGAGGTTTTTAACGAAGCATCCCCCCAAAATGAAACGAAAAGCGTCAGCCTTCGGCCCACAACAGCAACGCAACTACTCTACTCCTTTTCACCACTTTACAAGTGCCTCAAGGAGTGGGGGACTGGAGGACCCCCTCGGGAAAATCATTAAATTACAAAATTAGTGAAATTCCAACAAACGACAAAGCAAGCCCTCAAGTCCCGACATGTGGGTAACTGAGGGACTGCCTTCGGCAGGGACATAAAAGCAGCAACTCCTCACCAACTTAAGAGATCACGACAGGACAACATCAAAGGGCAAGCACAAATTACTCCTTTTCCCTCAAATACCTTTCGGCAAAAGGAGTGAGGGACTCCTGATGGAGTATATGGCCCGGGAACACCCGGCCCACAGACTCCTACTACTCCTTTAGAGGCCCAACAGGCCCAGAAGGCCCAACAGGCCCAAATCATGGCGCCCAGAGTACCAAGCTGCCCACAATACGCACCAGGGGTGCCTTCGGCCCCCTAGCCGAAGACTCCAAACTATCACAGCATGGATATTTCGAACAAACAGAGGAACTGGGAGAAAACGGCGAAAACAGTAGCCCTCGGCATCTGGAGCCCTCGGCACTCAGGGGCCCTCAGCACTAAGAGCCCTCGGCTAGTCCTCTGCAGCCGAGGGCACCTCTCCCGACATGATATCCGCCTCACATGCGTGCAGATCACCGTACCCTGTACAGACGTCCCATCCAACAGCCGCATTAAATGCGGCCACATGCGGCTGCCAACGCCAACCAGTTGAGGTGACCCCTCGGCCAATAGGCGCTTGACACGTGTCCCTGTCCGGCATTTATTGCTACTATAAATAGCACCCCATTTCCCCATTTGTAACCACGACATTCATACTGAATACACTCTCTCTCTCACTTACTTGCGCTCTGACTTCTCTCTAGGTTATTCCCTGCAATAACCCTTCGGATATATACCCCCGGGTAGACTATCCATCAATCCCTATGTTACGATTTTATACACCGATTCCTAAACGGCCGAGTATTGGTGGTTCTTCATTGAATAGTTTAATTTCTTCGTCGGATAATGCCATTCCTAACCATGAAAATAATGTAAAAAAGTCTCAAGTAGAAGCTGAATTGTCAATGATGACATTGTTGGTGATCCTGAATTGTGTAAACCGATGGGTATTCTTTAATCACTTGTTTTATTTAAATTCTATTTTTTGTTTGTTGATATATTCATGATATATACTATCCTCCGTTTCCTTTTAATTGACACATGGAAAATTTTACATCATTCACATATATTCTATTTTGATTATATTTTATTTAATAATGTATGATAATAATTTTTTTTGAAAATCATTGTTGAATTCGTTTCATTACAAATTTTCATAATCTGAAAATGTGTTAATGTGCCCCATCCAAGTCATCCGTGCTGGTTCCGCCACTGACTATAATCTGTGACCATTTTTATTTAACTTACAGGTTGGAATGTCTATTGATCCCAAGCTTCTTTTCTCGAACTTTCCAGTTGTTATGGGGGCATTAGGACTTCTAATTGTTGGAAAAACAATTTTGGTTGCTTTAGTTGGTCGACTTTTTGGCATTTCAATTGTATCTGCTATAAGAGTTGGTCTGCTGCTTGCTCCAGGTGGAGAATTTGCATTTGTTGCGTTCGGTGAGGCCGTCAATCAGGTCAGTTCCTTCACTTTCAATTTCCCTCTACAACTTTCATAAAATTAACCTGTCATTTTTTTTCTTTTCTTTAACCCTTTTCCAGCTTTTCTTAACATTTGGTGACGTGAACAGAATAACAGATTGATCGGAAACCATTGAAAACCACATTTGAATATTAACTTAGTAGATCATAATTTTTGTGTTTATTTCAATTTCCCCAGGGTATACTTTCTCCTCAGCTATCATCTTTGTTATTTCTTGTGGTGGGAATTTCAATGGCTATCACACCATGGTTGGCTGCTGGAGGCCAATTAATAGCTTCTCGTTTTGAGCTTCAAGATGTTCGGAGTTTGTTACCAGTGGAAAGCGAGGTGAAGCCTGTAACCTTCATTTGTTGATGATAACTTGGTTTAGTTCTTTTCAGAATTATTGTTAACTTTTAAATTATGTTTTGCAATTTTTCAGACTGATGATTTGCAAGATCATATTATTATTTGTGGGTTTGGGCGTGCTGGCCAGGTACTGTCCATCTTCTTTGTTCATGATATTATTACTTATTAGCACTCGGCTTTTAAAGTGAAGAACATGTAATTTTAGGTAAGACATTAAGTCACAATGGAACATAATGTAACATTGTAATGCACTTCACTGCATGGGTAATGTAAACTTACACTAAAACATATTTGAATAGATCACATTATATTCTGTTATGGTTTACCAAACATGTCCTAAGTGTCAGCTTTTAAACTGTTTTCTTGGCCCTTAACTTTCTTTCAGATCATTGCTCAGCTTCTTTCTGAACGACTGATTCCTTTTGTTGCACTTGATGTGAGAAGGTATTGTTTGTTTTTGGAAATAATCAGATATAGATGTCTCAACTTAATTGAAAATCTAGTGATTGAATGATAATTTGTTTAAATGTCAAATTTGTATCTATAATGTGTGCAATCAGCAGTCAAATAGTTTTTTTTTTTTAAAATGGTCTTGCTTTTCCCCTTTTCCTAACTCCTACTTTTTCAGTGATCGCGTCGCAGTTGGGCGTGCACTTGATCTTCCTGTATTCTTCGGCGATGCCGGAAGCCGAGAGGTAATGGTTGTTGAGTCGTTGACAAACTAAGTAATGCTGTCTTTTGTGGACATCCAGACACAAACGTTAAGAGAGTTCTTTGTTTATTGTCTCATATTTCTAGGTTCTCCATAAAGTAGGTGCTGATAGAGCTTGTGCTGCGGCAATAACATTGGATACCCCTGGTGCAAATTACAGAGCTGTGTGGGCCCTCAACAAGTATTTTCCTAACGTTAAAACGTTTGTACGTGCACATGATGTTGATCATGGCATAAACTTGGAAAAGGCTGGAGCAACAGCGGTACCCTTCTCTGACTATGATCTTTCCCAATATTCCCCACTTTTGCTCTCATAACTATTAGGCTGTCCTTATTTTGTCCCCCCACCCTTGGTGTAAAACTATGGATTTCTTGGCATTTTTGTCCTTTCTGGTAACCTATCAGATGAAGATCTTGTGTGCAAATTGGCTGTATAAGTCGACTGAAGGACCAAAAGTGGAAAAGTTTTCTTGTTCTTTTCCACTATCACATAATTGGTTTTGATCACTGCATTTTAATGTCATAGGTTGTACCAGAGACCTTGGAACCAAGTTTGCAGTTAGCGGCGGCTGTCCTTGTAGAAGTAAAATTGCTACTCTGGCATATCAATCTCCCCCAATCCCACCATACTTGCTTTTATTTTTTGATTTATGAGTATATATTACTCCCTCCGTCCCATAAAATTCTTCCCACTTTCCTTTTTGGGCCGTCTCAAAAAATTCTTCCCACTTACCATTTTTGGACAATTTGTGTGGTTCACATTCATTTCACCTTTTTCTTACACAACCACAACCACACATTTCCACTTTATTCCACTTTCTTAATATCCGTGCCAAGTCAAAGTGGGAAGAATTTTGTGGGACGGAGGTAGTATTTATTTACCTAGTTTTTTCCCTGTTTCAGGCTAAACTGCCAATGTCAGAGATAGCAGCTACGATCAATGAGTTTAGGTCTCGCCACCTAGCTGAGCTAACTGAGGTATATTGCAGCTCAATAACATGCCTTTACATTCAATTGCATTCAGATGAGCCTGTTTGGCAAACTGTTGTTTCAGCCTATGAGCAAAATCTTCGCCAAACACTTACTCCACTAAGCTGACTGAATCGGCTGATAATGAAAAAAGCAGGGCGTTTGTAACTTTTTTGGCCATAAAGTAGGTTCAAATTAAAGAAAACAACATTTCTACATTCATTTCTAGATAGTATTTTCCTTAATCCATCTAAGCAATACATTGCAAATGTTTATTAAAGATAATTTTATTTTAAAAAAAAGATAATTTAGCTGATTTAATCACAACTTCAGCAGATTCATCTATTATATGCCTTACCAAACGGGCAGACTAGGTTCTAACCCCTATGTAGAGTCTTTTTTTAGGGGGGGTGGGGGTCAGCTTGCAAAACAATGCAGCAGCTAGCCAACGGATAGCATAATGTTTTTTTTTTATAGAAGAGAGAACATAATATTCACATGTCTTTGAAGCAGAATGCTTGCAGGACTAACCAATGCTTTTTATTTGTAGCTGTGTCAAACAAGCGGTGGCTCACTCGGGTATGGATATTCCCGAGTTGTTAATAAACCCAAATCCCAGCCACAGTTAGACTCATCTTCAGATGAGAGTGAAGGAGCTCTAGCCACATAACGCTGAATGGCCTTTTGGAAACTGAATGGCCTTTTTTGTATTTTTTATCCCATTGCTGTAATTGTGTATAGGAAAGTAGCAGCAAACTTTGGGAGAAGAAACCCACCCCCCTTCTTGAGCCTATTTTAGTTTACAGGTGGGCCCTTCCAAATTCATGGTCCTGTTTTTAAGGGATTTATTTTTCAGCTCACTGTTTTTCTTATCTTTTTAATAAAATAAAAAGGGTTCAAGATTGCTTTGAACCATGTCCAGCCATGTTTCCTGCTTTATTTTGAATTTTTAGTCACCACAAATGATTTCTTATGTAAACAAAAAGAAATACTCACGCATACAATAATAATTGATACTAACATTTTATCAATCTTTTCACCTTTTCGATCAATATTACTTTTCATATTGTTTTTTCATTACTTTTTGGAGGTTACAATTGTAAAAGAATATCTGTATCTTTTATGTTAACACGTGTCAAACTCAAATAAATCTTACATTTTTTACGGGAGTAGTTATTGTGCCATTACTGTAATACATTGTTTTACATTCCAACAATCTAATAGTCCAACTATTGTAACTAGAATATAAGAATCTTGTTAAAATTTGTGGAGATCAGAGATAAGTATTAATCCGTACTTTTAAAAGAAATGATGGAGTTTATGGGATAATTAAATCAGAAAAGTTGGTTAAATGTAGTGGGATGAATGTAGTAATTTTTTAGTAGCAATTTGTTATTCCATTTCGCTCTTATAGTCTTATCTGCTCCAATAGTTTTTTCATGGAAATTAAGAATAAAGTTTTTTTTGCACAGGGAATATTTTAAAAGTTAAAAAAAGAGAAAGAAAGTGGAAAAGATAAGAAAGAAAAAGAGGAGATAAAAGGCAAGAATATGATGTCTTTCAGGTTGTGTTTCAAAAATGAAAAATTAAGTTCAAGTTAGACAGGAATAAGTTCACACGTATTGATGGACTCGGGCCGGGCCTAGGCCCGGTTGGGCCGCCGGGTAGTATGACATGGGCCTGGGACCGGCCCGAGGGTTGGACGGGTCCGGTCCGGGCCGGGCCACCCGCCCGGGTCACGGGTCGGGTCCGGTTCGGGCCGGGCCGGTTAATTTTTTTTTTATTTATAATTTATATTTTATAGTTTATAGTTTTATACGAGTATTAAAAACAAACTTCAATTGCATTTATTTGAAATGAAATAGGAACTACATTTGAAAATTAAAACAAACTTTAAGAGATAAACATTTTGAAAATTGTAATCAATCGGAACTTCCCGCACCTCCTGATCCTTTGGCTTTGTCACATGACTTCATATGCTTGATTGCCATCCCGAATCCGCCAGAAACCCTCATGCTACATTTTTTCTCGCACCATTTGCAAATTGCGTACCACATCCCGGTCTTCGGGTCCTTCTGCTTATCAAAATTATACCGTATAATGGCATCTTGATTTTCCATCTTAACTTCTTAAGTATAAACTATAAAGTAGATATATAAATAATAAATATAATATATTGGAGAATAAGAGAATTAGAGAGTAGAGAGTTAAGAATAGGATTTAGGAAGAATTGGAGAAGAGATAAGAAAAAATGTTTAAGATTAGGAGTATTTATAGGTTTTTTTACCCCCCACCCCCCCCACCACCCCCCCACCAGCCAACCCCCGGACCCCCCCTTTACCCCACCCAACGACTATATAGCCGTTTGGGTTGTCCCCACCTCCACCCCCAACGGCTAGTAGCCCAAGAGCCCAAACAATTTTTTTTTTTAAATAAGATCGGACCCGGGCCCGGGCCCGACCCGGCCGGGCCGGGTCACATTAATCCAGCACCGAGTCCGCCCCGCCCATTCCCACCGGTTCGGGTGCATACCCGGTCCCGGACCGTCCGACCGGGCCGGTCCCGGGCCCGCACAGTACAGGGCCGGGCCGGGTCACGGGCCGGGTGGCCCGAACCGAATCTAACCCTATTCACACGTTCTACTGTACAGGTTAAAAAGTTTGTAACAACTCTCAGTTTGCATATTTGAATTTGAAAGTTGAAACGATATTTTTTAGGAACTGTTTTAAGTTTGAACATTAATTAATCACAACTCGTTCTACTAAATAAAATTACGTCAAAATGTCATACGGAGTATTTTAATAAATAGTTACTCTCTCCGTCCCAATATTAACTCCTATTTTGATTTGAAACATAGAATAAGAAAGTGCAAAATGTTGGTCTACAGGGATGTTTTTACTTGGACTGTAATTCCTCCCAGACCAGACTAGACCAGTTCAGACCAGACTTGGATAGTTATAAAAATACAAAGAAACCACACTAGACCAGACCAGTAAATTACAGTCCAAGTAAAAACATTCTAGTTGTGCAGATGAGAGAGAAAGTAGATAAAATGTTGTGAACCACATATTCTTTGTCAAAAATGAAAAGAGAAGTTTATGTTGGGACAGATGAAAAATGAAAAATGAAGATGATGGAGTATATGGCCCGGGAACCCCCGGCCCACAGACTCCTACTACACCAATAAAGGCCCAACCGGCCCAGGAAGCACAGCAGGCCCCAAATTACGGCGCCTCAAGCACTCAGCAGCCCACAGCGTACAATGGGGAGCCTTCGCCCCCCTGGCCGAAGGCTCAAAACTCTCACAGAATGGGTTTTTCAAGCAAACTAAGAAACTGGGAGAAAAACGGCAGAAAACAGTAGCCCTCGGCACCTGGAGCCCTCGGCACCCAGAGGGTCCCCGGCACTCAGAGCCCTTGGCTAGTCCTCTGCAGCCGAGGGCACCTCTCCCGACATAATATCCGCGCCACATGCGTACAGATCACCGTACCTTGTACAACGTCCCATCCAACGGCCGCATTAAATGCGGCCACATGCGGCTGCCAGCGCCAACCAGTTGAGGTGACCTCTCGGCCAATGGAGGCTTGACACGTGTCCCTGTCCGGCATTTATTGCTACTATAAATAGCACCCCATTTCCCCATTTGTAACCACGCTGAAAACGCTCCACACTTTATAATATACTTTCTCTCTCTATATTACTTGCTCTGACTTCTCTCTTATTACTCCCCGTAATAACCCCTCGGATAAGCTACCCCCCGGGTACACTATCCATCAGAAGATAATATTGAGACGGAGGGAGTATAATTTTTCTTTTAAGAACTTTTGGATTATTAAAGACTAACAATTACTCAGTACTTAATATACCAAACATAAACTAATTACTTAACAATAACCTCCTTCTATATTAGAACAATGAAGTAAAAGCAAATGATTGCGTACTTGGTTCCGGTTCCGGGCCGGGCTCGGGCGGTCTTTTTTTGGAAACATGGGCCCGGGACTGGCCCGGGGTGATACCGGGTCCGGTCCGGGTCGGGCCTACCCGGCCGGTAGTGGGCCGGTTCGGTCTGGGCCTGGGCTATTTATTTATTTTTTTGTTTAAATATTAAATTAAGATTACTTGAACATAAAAAAGTTAAAATATATTTATTTGAAATATGTAGTACAATTGAAATTGAGCAAAATTTAAAACATGAAATGCACTTTTTAATAAATAAGAATCAATCCGAATTTCCGCCATCTTCGGTTGTTAATTTCTTCCATAAAGTGGCGGGTGGGTTCAATGCTAATTTCTTGAGTTCTATGTTTGGCCTTTAACCAATCGTGGAAGCAAACAAGCGTCTCAAGAGAGTTTGCGTTCAATCTCGTTCTATAATCCGTTAGGACGTTGCCGGTCGCACTAAACTCTTATTCCACAGCAACTGTTGATACCGGCATCGCTAGAACTTGCTTAGCCATCTTTGATAAGATCGAGAACGTTCTCTCTTTTTCCTTCCATCACTGAAGAACGTCAAACTCATCCCCTTCTTCATACTCAACAGGAAATGTTAGATACAAAGAAAGCTCGTTGATCGAGCTTTGTTCATTAACCGGAGTTGATTTACTTTTTTTCATAAGATTGCCAAATGCAGATTTCAAAATTAATTTCCCTTTAGATGAAGAAGATGTTCGTGGCGGGGGAGGGGGTGCGTTACCATATTGTGCATGAAACTCATTAAATAATTGATATAATAAATTACTAACCTCTTAGATTTGTTGTTTAGGGTCTATGACCTTGTCATCGTACATAAGCAATGGACCAAAAAAAGAAGCATAATAGTAATCTAAACATTGCTCCAAAGAAGCAAGTCTAAAACGAGGATCAAGAATAAATGCAATACTATATATATGCAGGATATAGGAATAATATTTTAAAAACTTTTGTTTCATGAAGTCACAAAAATAACTAACGTAAGCGGCATCAGCAAATTCAGAACAAGCGCCGGCGATTAACAGCTTCAACAAAAAATTGGTTTGTGGTATGTATAAACATGACTAAAAGTTTGAGTTGCATTATTGAAATACACCAAAACATTCACAATTTTTAACAAGTGTCAATGTTGGCCGGGTTTATAATATAGTTAGCATATTCTTTTAAAAAAGCAGGAAAATGGTTTTTAAATCTAATAAGCACCTTAATTAAGTTATAAGTACTATTCAAACGAATAGACAAATCTTTTGGAAAAACACAATATTTGACACGTCTTTCTTTCACCAAATAAGTTCAATTCCCCCCTTCACCACCTCCATAGCATCTCCCAACGCCGCTAGCCCGTCCTTTACACATAAATTTAAAATATGACATGCACAACACTGATGAAAAACCGTACCCATCAAAGAAGATGAACCACACAATTCACGCAATCTAGGAATAGCAGCAGTATTATTAGTAGCATTATCAAAACCAATAGCAAACACCTTATTAATCAAATTATACTCAATTAAAATACGTTCAATGAGAATATAAATATTATCACCGATGTGTCGATTATTAAATTCACACCCCACCCCAACCCCCAATCCCACCTCACCCCCAACCCCAACCCACCTCAGGACCACCAGGCAGGCTCCCAACGGCTATAGAGCCGTTGGGGTTTGAATGTAACGGCTATAAGGCCTGTTTGGCTGCCAAAGATTTTTTTTTTAAATTAGCCATTAGGCCTAGACCTGGCCTAAACTGGTTGGGTCGGGGCCCTTTTTTCTGAACCATGCCCGAACCGCCATACCCCCTCGGACCGGTTCAATGCCCGAACCGCCCATAACTTACTCGGGCCACGCCGGGCCCGCACAGTAACGGGCCGGGCCGGGCCGGTCTGGTCCGTCCCTACTTGGTAGGAGCTGAGATATGTTGGAATTTGAAGTTTTGTCTTTGGACTCATTTGTCTTTGCTGCTCCATTTAAAAAGTAAAAAATTAGCAAAAGGTTTAAATAGGCCCTTATCTAATTTAAAAAGTGCAAATCACCCTTTATATAAGAGGCTCTGTCCGGCCATTGTCATTTG